TTTTGTTGTGAAAGTAGTCCCAAAGCTGTTAACATTAATTGGGGTGTCAAATACGAGTCACGTGGCCGTTGGTCGTGAGGTTAAAAATGAAGAAGTTGCAAATTTAGTCTCATAAGATTGACCGTGTTGCAAATTTAGGCCCAAATGTTAAAAAATAGTATTTACTATTTTGTTGAAATTTTTATTCTGTGAGTATATAACAATCTGTAATAGTAAAAATCGAGTTTTAAGAAAAAAAATATTACTATACAATGTTTTCAATATTTCAAATTATTTTTAATTAAATAATAAATATATTCAAAAAATAGTTGTTTGATTTTATTAGAAACATAGAACTATAGAGGTTAATAAAAAAAAAAAATAATATCAGCTACTATTGTTTTGAAAACTAGGTCAACTTGTTATTGAACCGAGAATCAGTCAACTAAACGGTTTGATTCCTTTGAACGAACTGGTTTCTAATGAACTGTTATGGTTGATCGGACTGGTCAATTATATATTTTTTTAAATAAGTTAATAAATATTTGTATATTTTTAATATGAAAAAAATAAAATTAAATATATTTGATATATATAAATTCAAATATATTTAAATTTATATTATTATTTTTATATTAAAAAATAATTACAATACAACGTTTTCTATAATCTAAATATTTTAAATTAAATAATAAATATATTTAGAAAATAATTGTTTAATATTATTATAATTATAGCGGTTGATGAAAAATATAAATTAAATGCAATTAATAAAATTTAAAAAAAAAATAATATCAACTACTATTATTTTGAAAATCGGGTCAAACTAGCTGTTGAATTGAGATCAGTCAACTAAATAGTTGGATTCTTTTGAACGAACTGGCGGTTCAATTATTTTTTTAACAATATATTCACCATCGTTTCATCAACTTAGAAGAAAAATACTTTTTTTCAACAATATTCACTACCATTTTATTTTATAATATAATAATAATAATATAAATTTAAATATATTTGAATCTATGTATATATGAAATATATTTAAAATTATATTAAAAAGATATAACTATCATTGTTTATACAAGAAAAATGTGTCTAATTTATAAGCTTAGTGGGCTAATACTCTTTCCACCAATTGGTTTTTCGGGATAGAACCTCACAAAGGTGCAACAACAACAAGGGTCACCCTGCTATGGTGCGCTTCGCGTGCATGAGACGGCACTCATTTTTCCGCGATTCTTACATGTATCAGAGCAGGCCTACGTGGACTTGAGATTCGTAGAAAGGACTCACTCCCGTTACCCAGCCTATGTGGGATTGGGCTTTGTATGAATAATTCAAAAGTGAAGGAAGTTTGTGAGTTGTCACACATCGTTTTTACTGGAAAATAGGCATAATTACTCTTCACGTGAATGGGACCACATCTATTTTCCCTCGATTCTTACACTATAAATATGAGAATTTATAATAAATTGTACAACATATCTTGCAAATGAACTATAAATTAAATTGGGAATTGGAACTTGTAATGAAATCACAAATTTAACTTCGCCTAAGGTAGATCCAACAAACTCATATATTATTGTTGCATTAATGCTCTAAAAATTATTCCCAAAAATTAAATATTGAGTCAAAACTTTTTAAAAAATCACAAAATTAATTTTTGCTAATAAAAAAAATGATGCTAGCTATTCAAAATTAAACCTACACAATATAGTAGTAGTATTTAACTTGCTTCTTCTCTTACTTTTGTCACTTTGTGCTTAATTAAATATTTAATGCAGTTTATATGGGATTGGGAGAGAATATTTTGAAGGACCACAACAAGATTTTTCTTTTAATTTGGGACAAAAAAAACAGAAAATTGGAGTTGCATGATTTGATGTTAACAAAATTTCTTGAGATTTTTAGTAATTTACGTAAAGACATTAGAGGAATAAAATAATAAAAAATGTATTTATTTTATTTTTTTTTTCTCCTTTGAGATGTATTTAATTTATCTCTTAGATTGGTACATGACACAATATAAGAGACTTTAATTTATTTTTAAGATATTTTAAGTTAACAAGTATTTAATAATTTAATTTTATAATAAGGGTACCAAATAAACCTAATGAAATTTGATATGGCATCTAAAATGCAACGTGTGAAACTCGTGATACAAGTTGGCCGGCCGAGCTGATCCTCCTCGGCATACCTTATAATGTGTAGGGAGCAGGAGCGAGCTCGGCCCACATGTCGAGGTATATTCAACATATAACTAAGGGTTATAAGTCCGGATAGCCCGGTCAGAATCCCAACCTTGACGAGCTAGCATTGATGCTGAAAAGATAAAAGAGGACATGGAGAAAGAGAGATTTTGTTTTCTGTTGTTTTTCATTGATCGTAAAACTGACTCTTGAGGGTACATATAGAGATTACAAGAGATAAGGAAAATATCAAATCAAATATTTAGTTACTAAAGATAACTACAGAAAATATTCTTCCTAAATAATCCGTTACACCCCCCCTCAAGTTGGAGCATGAAGATCCCGAATGCCCAACTTGCGGAGAAAAGTCGTGAATTCTTGACCACCCAAGGCCTTAGTAAAAATATCCGCCAACTGGGTCGTGGTGGGAACATAAGTAGGAGCAATTAAACCCTTTAACAACGCGGCACGAACGAAATGACAATCAATCTCAATGTGCTTAGTACGCTCATGAAAGACTGGATTAGAGGCAATGTGCAAGGCTGCCTTGCTGTCACAATAGAGAGAAACAGGAGATAAAACATCAACACCAAAACATCCCAATAGGGACTTCAACCATAACAGCTCACAAGTGGTAGAGGCCATGGAGCGATATTCTGCTTCTGCGGAAGAGCGAGAAACGGTAGGCTGTTTCTTCGTCTTCCAAGAGATAGGCGATGAACCGAGTTGAATGATCCAACCAGTGAGAGAACGACGCGTAAGAGGACAACCTGCCCAATCAGAGTCGCACCAAGCAGTAAGACGTAAATCAGAATCAGCGCGAAAGAAAATGCCTTGACCAGGACTTCTTTTCAAATATCGCACAACGCGAAGAGCAGCATCCCAATGAGGTTGGAGAGGATTGTGCATAAACTGAGACAGAACATGGACAGAATAAGACAAGTCGGGTCGGGTGACAGCAAGATAAATAAGTCTTCCAACCAAACGTCTGTATTTCTGTGGATCGGAGAATGGAGGTCCAGCGACAAGCGAGAGCTGATGATTCTGCTCAAGAGGAAAGGAGGTCGGCTTAGCCCCGAGAAAACCAACTGCTGATAATATGTCAAGAGCATACTTCCGTTGGCATAGAAAAATGCCAGAGGAATTGCGAGCAACTTCCAGACCCAGAAAATATTTCAAAATTCCAAGATCCTTCATATGAAAGCAACGACTTAAATAAGTCTTGAAGGAAGAAATGGCGCAACTGTTATTGCCGGCAATGACCAGATCATCGACGTACACGAGAACGTGCAGACGAACACCATCACGGCACAAGGTAAAAAGAGAATAGTCGGCATAAGATTGGCGAAAGCCATATCGTCGAAGCGCCGTAGTGAGTTTCGCAAACCAGCATCGGGGAGCCTGCTTAAGACCATATAGAGATCGTTGCAAACGACAAACAAGATCAGACGACTTAGAACGAAAGCCAGGAGGCAATTTCATATACACCTCTTCATCGAGATCACCATGCAGAAATGCATTGTGAACATCCATCTGATGTAATTCCCACTGTCGGGCAGCAGCAACAGCAAGAAAAGTGCGTACAGTCACCATTTTTGCGACCGGAGCAAAAGTCTCAGTATAGTCAACACCCTCGACCTGATTATTCCCAAGGATAACAAGACGGGCCTTATAACGTTCAATAGACCTGTCAGATCGGTGCTTAATACGATACACCCATTTATATCCAATAGCATTTTTACCAGGAGGAAGGGGAACAAGAGTCCAAGTGTTGTTGTTTTCAAGAGCTTGAATTTCAGACTGCATGGCAGAGCGCCAATTAGAATCATCCATGGCTTCGGTAAAAGTTCGTGGCTCGACAGAGGTCTCAATCGCTGCCAAGAAAGTCTTATGGGCAGAAGAGAAATTAGTACTGTCAACAAAATGAGCTAAGGGATAAGGTGTACCTGAGGACGATGAGCTGGCTGAAGAGTGAACGGAGGGGGGGGGGGGTAATAGTACTGGTAACATGGTCTCGTAGTCTGACTGAGGGAAACTTCCGTCGATGGCCACGTCCCAAGAGCTCAGTATCAGAACCCCCTCGGACCTCAGTAGCCCCAGAGGGAGAAATGGGCGGCGCAGAATCATGAATAAGGGAAGACTCATCATCAATAGTAGGCCACGGTGAAGAAGAAACAAGTGGCACAGAATCAGACCTAGAAGCAGGTGACGTAGAAAAAGGAAACTGGCCCTCAAAAAATTTAACATCTCGAGAGACAAGAAACTCTCGGGTGTCAAGATCAAAAACTGACCAGCCCTTCTTCCCAAAAGGATAGCCCACAAAAATGCACTTTCTGCTACGACTTGCAAATTTATCTCCCGAACGATCCAGAGTGTGAACATAGCACAAGCAGCCAAAAACACGAAGGTGCTTAATAGGTGGTGCTGTGCCAAAAAGAACCTCATAGGGACTTTTCCCACGTAATATTGCAGTGGGAGTACGGTTAATCAAATATCCGGCAGTCAAGACACAGTGTCCCCAAAAGTCTATAGGTATGTTAGCCTGAAAACGCAGAGCACGGGCCACATTGAGAATATGACGATGCTTGCGTTCCACCCGACCATTCTGCTGGGGAGTAGATACACAGGACGTCTCATGTAAAATTCCGGTACGTCGAAAATATGAAGTAAGACACATAAATTCAGTCCCATTATCGCTTCTAACAACTTTCACCAATTTATTAAATTGTCGTTTCACCATGGCAAAAAAACCAGTCAAAGTAGAAGAAACACAAGTTTTGTCATCCAACAAATAAAGCCACACAGCTCGAGAAAAGTCATCAACAACTGTCAAAAAATATCTGGCTCCAGAAAATGAGGGGACCCGATAAGGACCCCATAAATCACAATGGATTAAAGCAAAAGGTTCCAAACTAGTACTGTCACTCAAAGAAAATGAATCTCTAGTGTGCTTGGCACGAAGACAGACATCGCAAGCTTTATTGTCAAAACTACCAACATGAGTAGGAGCTAAATTACAAAGTTTCCCAATAACCTGCGGGGGTGGATGTCCAAATCGTTGATGCCACAAATCCGCAGATCCGCCAACAGATACCGTAGCCGTCACCGTCTGCATAGGATCACGGAAAAAATATAACCCCCCCTTTTGTTCACCCAGACCAATCACCGTCCTCGTAGTACGGTCCTGTATCAGACAATCAACATTAGTGAAGTGGGCTATACACCCATGATCATCCAATAAGCGACATAAGGAAATGAGACTGCACTTAAGACTCGGTACAAATAAAACATTAAGCAAGACCAAATTTTGACTAAGACGAACTTTGCCGGCTTTAGTCGCAATAATCAATTGCCCATCAGGAAGCTGCACTGGTCGAGGTGAAATGTCACAAATATCAACGAGACATTGAAAAAATCCAGTCATGTGATGTGTAGCGCCACAGTCATACATCCAATTACGGGAATAATCCTTACCAGTTAAATTAGGAGCAGCGGAAGTCTCAGATTTATTAGGCCGTACGAGATTTACTAATGCTTGCCATTGGTCCGGGCTCAAACCTGTAGCAGCCGGGACATTATTAGCACCATAAGTACCAAATTGAAGAGAAGAACCCACATTACCAGGCCCAACAAGACTAGGCCCAACAGAATTAGCCCCAGCAAAACTGGTAGCGTGTGCCTTAGCAGAATTAGAGGGAATTAACCCTCGCTCATTTCCAGCAGAAGACGACGCGGCGTTATTCGATCGTCCCTGCCCCGCCGGAGGTGCGCCTGTGGAAGAGGACTTGCCGGACCAGCCCGCCGGATATCCGACGACCTCGAAGCAGCGACGAGGATCATGACCCGTCCGGTTGCAGTGAGGGCAAGGTTTGACCCGAAAACAATTTTGGGCTTCATGTCCAGATCGCCCACAGAGATGGCACTGTCGAGAAGAAGCAGAGGAACGCGGAGGCCGGGAAGAAGACTGACGGGTCGCGGTGGTGGCGAAACTCATCACGTCGGCGGTCGGAGCAGAAGGGGAGGAGAATCGTTCCTCCTGTGAGATGACGGCATAGACCCGTTCCAAAGAGGGTAGCGGATCTTGGGCCAAAAGACCAGAACGGGCCGACCCAAATGCTTCTTTATCCAGGCCTAACAAGAATTGATGAGTTTCTTCGGCGTCTCTACGAGCTTCGAATGCACGGGCGTGGCCGCAGGTACACGCAATCGGTGGTTGATATGAATTCAATTCGTCAAATAGCATTCGAAGTTTGCCATAGTATGCACTGACAGACATACCTTTTTGTACTGTAGAAGCCAATTCCCCTTTCAATTGTTGAATTCGAGTGCCGTTAACAACGGAGAAACGTTGACGAAGATGATCCCACAATTCTTTGGCGAGTTCAATTTGAGGAATGGAGGGTCGAAGTGTCGAATCGATCGTATTCTTTATCCATGAGACCAACATCGAGTTATTGACGAACCAATCTTCGAGAACCGGTGAGTTGTCGGCCGGTTTGGAAATAGAACCATCGAGAAAGCCGAACTTTTTGCGTGCTCGGAGAGCCGTCCGGAGCGAAGAGGACCATTCGATATAATTTTGCCCCGTGAGAAGAACCGTAGAAATCAAGCATCCAGGATTATCACTCGAGGTGATATCGTATGGTGAGATTGTTTTATAATTCGTTTGAGATCCCGTGCTAGATGTCATGATGAAAGCAAAGAATATGATGTTTGTAAAAAATTATGTATGATGTTCTTCATGGCTCTGATACCATGCTGAAAAGATAAAAGAGGACATGGAGAAAGAGAGATTTTGTTTTCTGTTGTTTTTCATTGATCGTAAAACTGACTCTTGAGGGTACATATAGAGATTACAAGAGATAAGGAAAATATCAAATCAAATATTTAGTTACTAAAGATAACTACAGAAAATATTCTTCCTAAATAATCCGTTACAATTGATAGTAACCGCGATGGGCGTATGAGTGATCTCGGCTCGGCACGATGAGGGAATCGGTTGATTGCTGCGAGGAGAACTCTTGGAACGGGCGTGGTAAAACCTTCAAGGGGGTAGCTCGGCGGAGCCAATGCGAGGTCGGGTTACTGTTAGCATAAGTGCCGAGCTGGTATCTGCGTGGTAAGATAAGGGATCCGGAAGAGATTGGGCATGGGCCAAACTCTTTGTTCAGTTTTATGGAAGCGTGAAGGGAAAGGACTCTTGAGCCTCTATAAAAGGACATGTTCTTTTTATATAAGATACAATATACATGCATTTTGCGAATACTCTATTGTTTCTAAAAATCCTACTGACTTGAGCGTCGGAGTGTTCATGCCAGGACCATGCCGATGTGTTTTGCAAGTACTGGTGGTTGAGAATTAATCCGTTCGGAGAGGAGCGGTCGGAGCGGTTCGAGAATTTTTGACATAACAAAATTAATTTATCTACAAGTACCGAACCGTATAAATAATTTTAACCTTTTACTTTTAGTATAGCATAAAGAAATTTTTAGTTTTATAATTATAGCATATAGATTTACAATAATTTTAAAATCCATTCTTATTACTCACTAACCCATCAAACACCTACTTCTTTTTTATGTGCATTGGATACAAATAAATGTCATTGAACAGCGCATTGATACTCACCAAGATCACATTAAATAAATTGTATATGCGTACATGCAATGACAACAAAATACAATATATAACTAGCAATAAATGATATATTAAGTGTGTGTTTGATAATATATATTGAACTACATTTTTTTATTATTATTATTATTTGATAAGTATCATAAAGCTAGTTTATAATTTATTTAATTAACTTTTTTTCCTTTTTTTATTTTGTATTCAATAAAGATGTAGGATGAACTTTTGTAGTATCATGTATTTATCTCATTAGCTTTTCTAGGTATTTTAGCTTACTAAAAATTTATTTTAGTTGACTTATGAGACAATTTAACAAAAATATATATAGCTACCTTTTCTATAATTAACCATAAGTTATCATCTATCTCGGAATTTGCTGATAAAACATCAGCTATTTATCAATTATGAACTAGCTTTTCAGTTAGATTTACCGAACATATATATACTAGGCATGTATGACTTTCACAAATACTTGTGGACAATCTAACATCGACTCATATCATTTTTTTTTTTATATATTATGTGAATAAAAATGTATCCCTAGCTATAATATCAAATGTTGTACATTTTTATATTATTTTGCAGAATATAATATTTTTTAATGAAAGCATACATATTTTTTTAAAAAAGTTTGATGGTTTGATGGCTAGACCTACAAAAAATAAGATCTAATGCATGCCTTTAAGAAAGCCAAA